TGAACCAAGGGGAAGGAGAGAAGAACAGTGATGAGAGGAAAGGATTCTTTTGTCAATAATTTAAAAGATGGACATTTTATTAAAGTCTTTGTTTGGAAAGAGCATGAACCAATAAGTAGACACAGTGACTCTAATGAAGCATATAAAAAAATCCCTTTGATTTGGTCTCAGAAGTCTTTTTCTTAATGGAATACTAATGCCAAGTTGTCAAGACAGAAAAGAGTGTTTTTTAACACAGCCAGGAGCAGTCAGGCTGCCATGTAAGCACCAGACCTGGTCCCAGGGGAGCAGCTGCTTCAATGTGACTTCTCAGAGCAGACCAAACCGGGCTCGAGAAGCACACGCAGCAGCACAAGCATTCAGGAGACCAGGGCCCAAATCTGAGTTGGGTCTTGTTTCACTGAAAGATTTTAAGCCATTTTAATTCTTCATAACTATTTATAAATCATCAATTCTCTCTTCTCGTGCCCTCTGAGTAGGATATTTGTTTGTTACCACTTTCAACGTAGATTACACACGCTGTACGCATTCCTTAAAGCTTTTATGACGGCTTATGGTTGACTGTGTTCCTTATGAACCCCTTCATCACCAAGTCTCTACATTATAATATATATAATTTTTGAAGAGAACTAGACAAAACAACAATTTCACTCTATAGTCAAAACATGAGGAATGGCAGGTAGAAGTAACTATTTTTCCTACAAAGCATTATTTTAACTTGGAAAACGTAAGCTACTTTAAAGAAACTGTCTTAGTCTGGCTTGGCTTGAATGTAATGAGCTTAAATCCATACGACACCCATTTTAGCACTGGAGTCAAATGCTCCAGAGCAGCCATACACCTTCTGAGTCCTAAGAGCAACACTGACCAACACAGCACAAGTGTAAACTGAATTTAAAATGACCACTACCTCTTAAAACAAGTCTTTTTTCTGATGAGACACATCTGGATCACAGATGGAGTTCAAGGTACTTTTTGAAAGTATACAAAACAGCCAGACACATAACAGGCAAGAAAACAGAGGTTTTTTACATACATCTGATAGTAACCTGTTTTTCTACAATTAGCACAAAAAGTATTACGTTACATGAAATTGAGATCTCAAAAAGTATTGCAGAATTCAGCGTGCTTGAAACTTACACTGTTAATTAGCCTGCTAATTCAGGAACTCGCCCTCTTTTCACTGGAGATTAATATTATTAAGCATGGGTATTTTATTCCGATCAACTACTGCCCTGACAAACCTGTAAATTCTAGCAGCTCACAACAAGGAAACAGATCTGGTAAGAAAGAAACTTGGTTTTGTTACTATGCATAAAAGTGTACCATTACTGTTTTTAACAGATTTTGATAATTTAAGGACTAGATGAGTACTTTGCTGCAGCACTATTCCTTTTTTGCTCCCCAGTGCTATCTGTAAAAATACTCTGGAAAAGTCTCAAAGAGCAAAAACATTACATTTTCTGCACGAACTGACACCTAGAGTAGGTAGATAAATGGCAAGGCAGTCGCCACTACAGACCTTTATTTAAGAATACCTTGAAATACATATCAGTAACTGTACACTGAGCAGACCTCTTGCTAGAGCTCTTTAAAGAACTTCCTCATTTCCACAGAATTTCTATTACTAGAAACTGCGGGTAACATACGCCACCAATAGTGACTCAAAACACTGGCTAGCAGTGAAAAAAATTCCTTTCAAATAGATGGGCTCATATCTGTCCACCACTCCAGTTTCACCATATTAAATACTTATTTTAGGCTCTATTTCCTAAAGCAACTGCAGTTCCCTCAGATACTGATAAAACTGTATATGACATAAACCACATCCAGACTAAGCCCACATGTTCAGGACCTGTAGCTTAATAAAGCTTCTCCACCATCAGCAAAATTTCATTGTGTTTTAAAATATACACCTGAAACAACCCCAAATTTCCATTTCATTAAACTGATTTCCATCTGACACAACGACACTGTGTTCTGAGCTCTACCAGTGTATCTTAGATTTCTGGCTATTTTAAAGTGTATACAGAAGGCAAACTTGCAGACCCTCACATATATGTACGGAAATGAACCTCTACTTAACATGACAACATCCTTGGTGTTGCACCTAAAATATTTATTCAAGCTTTCTACTTGTATCTTTAAGCCAACTTTATTTAAGGAACACTTTATTTGAATTTCTGCCTCACGACTCAGGAAGCACCCTTGTCAGACAACTGCATGTATTTAATCATATTGGCATCTGAAAAAGATTAACTGCAGGCAAATGCAACAGAAAACAACACATTTCTCAAGCACCAACTAGAACACAAATACAAATAGTATTTCCTTGAGTTCATGCAATCTCTACCAGAAACCCTTAAGTAATTCAATTTATTAAACTGACCTTAAAACACAGTTCATAATACTGAAAAGGCAAAAGGTGCTAGGTTGTAGAATAAAAACTCAAAAGAACTGGTCCTTCTGTTGCACTTTACTACAAATTCAACAACATTGACTAAAGACCACAGGTGTGTAATGCCCAAGTTATTTTGAGTTAAGTGCTTTAAATGCGCTGAGCAGTAAATAATACAGGATTACAAATAATGAGGGAGCCAGCCTTTACTAAAAGATAATACTTGGAAGCACCTAAAAGCAAACAAAATGTATCATCTGAAAGTTTCCAAAACTACTTTAAAAGATCAAATTAAGTACAGGAAAATCAGTAAATAAAACCTGAAAGCTGCTGGAGAAAACTTGTGCACTGCAAAATAAATTCCAGAGTACTTCTCGATTACGAAGCTGTTTTCCCCGCTGTGGTAAGTACCTGTCTCAATGTATCTCTGCATTAGCTTTTTATGACTTCACGTGACTCTATGTTAGAAACTTAAAAAGGTGAATAAAGATACTTTTTTGAATGAATGATACAAAATCCTACAGGTGAGAGGAAAATACATTTATATGGTATTTTCCAGAGGAGTCCCTTTTTTAAACAGGGTTTTCCCTAGATTTTTAAAATAACTCGGTGTGCTCTGTATTTGAAACAGACACAGGTGGAATATTCATTCAGAGAGTTTGTAGTCCCAACAGCCCACCTCTGGCTGTGTGACACTTTCCAGTGCTACCACATACCTGGCAATAACGGCAGCTCACAAATGGCATTACACTGAATACACCGAAAGCTACTTTTAAGCTCCTTTACAAGCTGTTTGGAAGGAAAACGCCTTCATAATAGTCTCAAAATCTGAACCTGATGAAAATTTTCAAAAATTCTGTTTAGAGAAAAGTATTTTCTTTATGAAAATAATACACGTATAGGCTTGCCTGAGAAAAAGAACCATGCCTTAAACAACACCGAGATCTGCACAAATGTTGTTCAGAATTACTCTGTTGTAACAGGATAAGCTCTGTTAAAGGGTTTCTTGGCAAGTTAGTGAGGTTTTAATATTGACGTTTTTGAACACTGTTAGCATTGCAAGAAACAAAAAGATCACAGTGAGTAATAAACACGGACACATTGGCAGAGCTTTGTTTTATAGAAATAAAAACATAATTAACATCAGGCCTCAGCCAACAGGAAATCCTCCAGGGAAAGTGAAATGTTAACTAAGCTGTGGCAGGATGCAGTTGTTTTCCCTCAAAATAACCCTATAGCCATTTGGATGGCAGAAAGTGTTTTCCTTGAAGTTGTTTGGTCTGTGATAAATACCAGAGTGTATGACTACAATACAGGCAAACCAAAATATCAGAACCTTATGTAGATGAAAAAGAAATAAATTAGGTAGAAAAAGGAGATTGTTTACTAAATAGTCACTAGTTAGCTTGCTAAAAATAGAAAAGAAATAAGCTATACGGGAGTATGTGTGTATAAAAGGGAGGGTTATATATATACTGAGTCACCTGTAACCCTTAACCTTTTATGTCTTCATTTTTCTAAAAGGTATTCTAGGTATTCCCTGTCTTCTTACATTGCTTGGCATTAGGGAAGCTCTTATTTGGCTTTCAGCAACAAGATCCGTTTTGTGTGAAAAGAGAGGGCAGATTTCTCAGTGTCCCCTGGCTGTCCCCCAGAAGTTGGCTGTTAGAGGGCTGAGTACCCACGACAGGATTTTAGGTTTCTACATAAACATCCTAAAGGAGCTCAAAACTTATCTGGTTTCAAATCCAACCTGGCAAAGTTAAAAGTAAGAAAAATGCATCACTTGCATTCTCTGTTTCACATAAATTACACACTATGAATGACACGGAGGTCACCACTGAGACAATGGCACTGGATTATAAAAGAAACAAAGAGATGTTCAGAGCCTTCAGAATTTAGACCTGGCTCAGATTTTTAAAACTTAAGTTCCTTACTCTATAGGAACCACAAAGACCTTAATTTTCAAACTCAAATCTCCACAGGGAAGCCTATGTCAACGTGTGTTGCTCCTTTTCTCAGCTGGAGGCTCGGCACCTTGAAAACCGGCCGATTTTTTTAACCCTGCCAGTCTCTACCCACCTAATGGGAACAGGGAAGCATCAAGTCTACTCCTCAGCACTTGGAGGAAGGATCTGGTGCTGTTTGGGATCCAAAAATATCTTTTTTAATCATCCCTGTTTGCAAAAGCTTTTCTCACTTCTTATTCCCCTTGTATGAAAGTATTATGCACAAGTAATTTAGATAAAAATTGAATCTAAATCAAGACCACTAACTTGTCTCTCTAAATAACTCACCAGTGGTTTGGGAGTAAGCTCCTTTAACCAGAAAGGACTACATTTATCACATTATCTATCCCCTTTTTTACCCCCAATAGAAAAAGAAACACCTTAGAGCACCATGCATTTCCATTGAGTGTGTACCAACATCTGCTTCCCATCCATAGCTTTTGAATCCTGTATTCAGAGAATGTGGAGAACTTCTGGGGATGGGTGACAACCTGAATAACAAGGCTGTAACTTGGCCTTCATTTCTAAACTAATACAGGATAAATTTAAAACCCAAAAGGGACTGCTACTCCTTTGTGAACAGCTAACTAGTGCTGCACAGCAAAATTAAAATCCACTTCTTTGCTTTCAGGATGCGTGGCTGCTCCATCTTACAGCTACGCCAGACTTCCCTATTCATACGGGAACAGAATGCCAGGTTCCTTATTTGTGATATTCCCTGACTAAAAGGGAACAACAAAAACGACTGGCAAAGCACGTGATGGCCCATGCAGAAATAAAAAGCCAGTGGTAACTACTCAGTTCAAGTGTTGTCAGATTTTAGATGAGCACCTAACCTGAGCCCTGTGGTACAGCCTTCAATCACACAATCCTGCCTTCCCCAGAAATGCTGTACGTGGAAAAGAACTGTTCTGGGATGGAATTTGGTTGTGGATTACAGATTCTCCTGGCTACAGGACTCCTGTCTCCCTTACTGTCGAGGCTGTAAACATGCAGACAACGGGTCGGGGAATTGGAGTAGGAAAAAATAAGGCTAAACAGCATGACAACAAACTGTAAGCCCATGTCTGTGTCGTAGGAAAGCCGCCTGTTACTCGCTTCTCATCTTTTAGCTGTCCCAGATGGGAGACGATTTGTAAATGTTTTAAGTCTGTGTAAATTTCCACAAAGACCAACAGGATATTCCTCTGCAGCTGTGATGCGCTACACGCCGTGTTAAAAATAGGTCTCCTGCACTTTGACTGGAGAAGCTAATAGGATCATTTTAACTCCATTCTGTGCTCTCTCTGTGTAAGATAAGCACAAGGCTAGCCCCTCTCAAGCACAGCCAAAAGACAGGCATAACACATAAAGAGACAAGGGACTGCTCCTAGCTTCCATTTGCAATTAGACAACAATCCTTCAAAATATTTCCATGTATGGCCTTTGTATCTGTACCTATGTACAGAACTGTAAGTGTCTGTAAGCAAAAATGCACAACAAAAGGTCTAACTTGTGCCCTTAATAATTCGATCTAAATTTCAGTATCAGAACCATATTTTAAATTGTCTTAAATTTATTATTTGTTAAATTTATTAATTGTCTGTTACTCCATTTATCCTCTTCTTGCATGCTGTCTTAAGTCTATTCTGAAAGTTGTTTTTGCTTTAGTGTCTTAGAACGTTTCTAATGAACATTTCTGCAAGATGCACAATACTGTCATTTTAACCCAGTCCTGTGGTAGCTTGAGTGGATGGTTACAAATGAATAAGCAGTTCTCTGATGGTATAAACACACTGCATCAAAGAAACCCTTCTTTTGCTACCATCTATTCTCCAGAGGAATCACTGTAGATCAACATTGGTTTCTGAATTCCATTTTCCAAATCTGAAGGACTTGGAACCATAAATTTTCCACTGCAAGGTGTTAGGTTATTTGAGCAGCGTTAACAATACATTGCTGTGTACAAACAATTTTACTATTTAATCATCCAAAAATCAGCTGAAGGAAAAAAAACCCCACCCAAAACTCCAGCCCAAAACCAAGTAAAACCCCACTTTCATGATACTTCCACTACAATTCAGAAATTTGAATTTTCAGTTTCGTGGGTAAAGTTTTAAATATGGACAAAATAAGCTTAAGGTAAACAAATAATGTATGTTGGACTGACCAAGTACAAACCCATTTAAAGATTTCCCTTTCTGGAGCATGTGTTATTTTATTAAAATAGATATCCTCAACTGTTAAAAATATTTAACCAGAGTAGGAAACATGAGACTATTTTTACACAGACATTACAGTAAGTTTGAATTACTTCTAAACATCAAAGAAAAAAATGATGGAAATAAGAGAAGAACAAATCCCACTTGAAGAAAAACATGGATAAAAAGTCAATATTTAGCCATGACCAAGACAAAACAAAAACTTGGAGACAAAAATCTGATTAAGGATTTCAAAGAGTATTGTGAGATTAGATTTATTTTGAGAAGTCTGTGGTCATGATATAGAGCAGGGCTGCTAGTAACTTTTATTTAAATACCTCCCTGCTAAGCATTTTTTTCATTTTTTCCCCATTTTTATTCCTTGCTGCTTGCCTACAACAGTACCTCATCTCTGATTGGAAAAATGCCCGGATGCTTAAAAACTTGTCTCTGGAACACAGCTGAAGTTAGAATAACACTTCCCAGCCACCCTGAATATTAACATCTTTAATCAATCAGCTTTAAGAGAATCACATAAAAATCCAGGATACTACCCATGCTCGAGACCTGAAGTATGGAAGAGAATCACAGAAGACAGAGAAAACAGCAACAGCCTAGATTCATGCAACTGGTAAAAAAACATCTGTTGCCAAGAGATATGGTTTGCAGAAAAGAAACAGATGTACAGAGTCTAATCAAGAACAGAGACTGAGCAAAGGTAACAGAAGACAAATAAGAGAAAAAAGGTTAGCAAAAAGACCCCAAACTCTCAAATGGCTGAACTAAAAGAAAATCCTAAGTAACTGTGGAAGACCTGAAGAAATAAATACAGATCATCAGTCTAAGGATCTAGCACATTTTAGACCAGGTCTTGTTTCAAGCCTTTCTTGCACTCACTGTGACTATGGAAGTTTGTGTGTCAGGCAGGTTCCACGGGCTCTGTCCTTGAGACAAAAAGTTAAGACTTGCTTCAAAGTAAATGAATAAACTTATTCCACGACATAAACACAGGATTTCTATCTTTGTGTAAGGACACACTGATCAGGCCAGACAGCATTCAGTAATCTGGTATAAAGTAACTTATAAAAACATTTTCATACACTGATCAGGCCAGACAGCATTCAGTAATCTGGTATAAAGTATCTTATAAAAACATTTTCATACCTGGACCAAGCAGCGGGGACCGGTTTGGCTGGGCACTTGACTGGTGCGATGGTTGAGGTTCAACCATGTTTGTGTTGATAATGGTGCTAGTGGTGGTGGTATTGGTTGTGGTACTGCTCTGGATTATAGGATTATTTCTATCCCACATGTTTACAGTCTTGTTGTTGTTGTAGTTTGGGTCGCCCCAAGCTGAGGTACCATCATCGATTTCCATCTTGCGGCGAATGGACGGTGGAGATGGCTCTTCCCAGCCAGTTGCCTCACAGTTCTCTTTTTGTTTGGCTGGCACTGGCCCACCAACCCACCCTGACCCCGTCTGTTTTACAGAAGCAGCTCCTCCCCAGTTACTTACATTGTTGTCCTGGGGTTTATTAGCCCAATTTTGTTGGGAGCCTGGCTTTAAAGATTCCCCCCAACTTGTACCTGTATTAGCCTTGCTGTTTGTGCCGTTTCCCCACCCGCTGGTCCCAGATCTCGTGGAATCATTCCAACCAGACCCTGATCTACTGTCAGAATCCCATCCAGATCCATTCTTCTTCCCATCACCCAAGTGTCCAGGAACAGATGATGAATCTGTCCAGTCTCCACCTCCTGAAGTCCAGCTCGGATTTGATTTCTGTCCATCTCCCCAGTTTTGAGATTTGGGTTTCTGAGGTTCACCCCAGGTAGGTGATTTGTCCTCCTGATTTGCGGTCCCACTCCAAGCGTGGCCGCTTTTGGCAGCAGCAGCATTATTAACAGTAGTAGAGCTTGCTGACTCTCCCCATCCCCCTGGGCCATTTGGTGCTTTGTTGTTATTGTCTCCCCAACCTGTATTTGTTGGAACAGCTGCAGGTGGAGAGTTGACCCACCCAGATACTGAAGAGGTATTTGTACTGTTCATGATGGACCCATCGTTCTTCCCCCCTGAGTTTGAAGATTGAGTAGCTGCACAACCCCAGGCCTCTGTTCCATTGTCATTCTTTCGTTCAGACCTTGGGGACTCTTCAAATTCCCAGGCAGTGTTTTGCTTTACGGGGGTCTGTCCCCACCCCGTATTGGACAAGACCCTGGGGTCAAGGTCATTTCTTGGCAACTGAACTTGCCCTTGGTCTATCATCCCTTTGTCTCTCCTCCTGCCTTCTCCAGCCCCCTCCCTCCCAGTACTGCCTTCATTTTGACTTCCACCGCTGTCGTTACTTCCTTCGCTAGCTGTGGTGCCAGATGCTGCAGCTTTGGCCCAAGAGTTTATTTGTTCACTGCCCTGCTGCATGGCAGGATTCGGACTGGTAACGCTAGAGCTGTCCCACCCTGTTGATCCTTTCCCACTGATGTCACTGTTGGAATGCTGGTTTGGGGGCTTGCCCCACTCACCGTTCACACCGTTACTGGTGTTACGGTTGGGGTGGCCCCAAGCTCCAGAATGCATACTACCAACACCGCCGTTGCCACTGCCCCTGCCCCACGCCAGTACCCCGGGACCAGAAGGAGGTCCCGAATCCCAGGCGCTCGCTCCGTTTCCTTCCTTTTGCACAGCACTGCTGGATCCGTTTTGTTTAGCACTTAATGCTGAGTTCACAGTGTCTCCATTCCCCTGACTGAACCCAGAATTGCTGTTTCCTGTGGCAGGATTACCTGGGGACATCCCCCACACTGAACTGCCCATTCCTTCACCACTGCCCCCACTGACTTGAGAAACGGATGTTCCATTAGCACCAGGAAGGCCTTGCAGGTGGGGCGGGATGATGGCCCCCATACCAACAGCCATCCCCCAGTTCGGCAGTCCGTTTGTCTGCATTGCATTGATAGGGTTTGGTGAAGAGTTCATGGGGTTAGTGTTATTTGGTCCATCAGTGTTAAGGTTCTGAGGTTGTACGCTGAAAGACACATTCTGAGAAGTGGACGTTTGTGGTTCTGTGCTCTCTTGCGGCAGCAAGTTTCCCCAAGCACCTAAGGTGCCTGTTGGGTTCCCATTCTGGTTGCCCATATTCTGACCTATGGCACTGACTGGACTGCAAATACTGGAAGGGTTGCCTGCTCCCACAGTTCCTTCATGTCCAAGTACAGGCCAGGCAGCTGGATTGGCATTAGGATTAAGGTTAAGATTAATGCCAGCATTCGAGTTGGAAGCACCCCAGCAGTTCTGACTTCTACCATCTCCCATCATGTTGTCCATCTTTCCATCCCCGCCACTGGCAGAGCAGTGAGCTAGCCCCGAGCCGGAGCCCGCAGCCACAGCCCACACTCTGGCCGAGCTGCCGTTACCGTTTGCTCCACCAGCTCCAAGGGCACTCTGGTTAGAAGTGCTTTGGACGAGTGCTCCGTTGGCGCCATTATTGCCATTAGTTTTCTTTGTATGTCCAGTGAAGTTGCCTTGGGCACTCCCTGTAGCCATGCTACTGTTCTCTGAGCCACAGTTGGAGGCAGAGTCAGTGTCTGTAGTACATTCTGAGGCAGACTCAGTCTCGGCTCCGGTAATGGAAGGCCACGCTTCCTTGTCAGTCCTGTCTATTATCACTTTATCCCAGCTGCAGTTGCCTTCACTCCTGAAAGCGGGCTGCTGTCCCCAGTGGGAATTCTCATAATGGTCTCCCAATCCACTGTGGCTGAGATCTGAAAGGATCCAACAAGGTTAAAAATGACTCCACTGTTCCAGTACTGCAAAAGCCCTCTATTAAGCACTATTTTACATTGCTAGTCACAACACTGCCTTCTGATAAAATTTAGAGCACATTCTTCAACATAATACAGTAATTTTCCTCACTATAATAAAGCACGATGCTCATATTTAGGGTTTTTTTTCTAATCTGGCAAAACTCTCAATTAAAATAATGGGACAATTCAGTTTTAGAACAGCAACAAAAGCATTCTGTATCCCTAAGTCTACTAGTAAAAATAATAAGCAGGCAATAAATAAGGATAGCAAATACAGTAAGCTATGTGAAAATGCTAAAACTCAAATTTGGAAAAAACACAGAAGGATACTTAGCAGACTCTTACCATTTATTTTGACTGAGTCCTCAATCTTCAGAGTAACACAAAGAAAGAGCATCCAATAAAAAATGTAAAACGACTGCCTGCCATTAGAATATTACATACACATCTATATCACACTCAACACTAAATTCATACTGCATTTAAGTTTTCAGCCCTTCCTGAAATAAAGGAACAAACACTGAGAGTCACCTTCACTATTCAGTGTCCTTTATATATATATAAATTATATACTTTAATGCCACTACTGCAACTTAGGTTTTAGCAGAGACCTTGGGCACTTCTAAATAACAGACAGTTTTGTAGAGAAATTTAACTCTTAAGGGTTTTACATGTGGTTTAAACATTCTTTGCACTTGCACACACAGTTCAACTTCGCCCCAAACCAATGACAAATGATGCCATGTTGTACAGACAGTCAGAAGACAGTTTTCTCAGAGCACCTCCCGCATTCTCAAACATAGATGTGAATTTAAAAAATAAACAAAAGCTCTTCAGCATCTAATTGCTTGCGAGAGTACAAAGTAAAACTGGAAGACACAACACTTCTCATGCTAAGAACTTAAGCTTAGGTCACGCTTTTGCATTTACTTTACTATCCTACTTGCTCTCTGCATGATTTCTAGAACAGATTACTGCTTTTAGTTTCTTTTGACAGGAATTTTATAGCGAGTAATTCAGTCTGATCCTAGGGATATGTACTAGAGACCATCTGCAGAACAGCTCCTCTTATCTGCTTGTCTAAACAAAGCAGAAAACTTCATATAGGTAAGTTAGAAATTTTGGATGTCAATTATTTTTACTTGCTGTAAATCTACATAAACATAACTTTAATATTTTATGAAGAATATTTTGCAGGGAACATGGATGCAACAAGTCTCCCAAATAAGCTGTTAACAGTGGATGCCTAATATGCATCAATTTAAATAACACATATTCTGGTGTGACTGGCTCCTCTACCTGCCTCCAATTAGAGGTGTTCGAATATCATAAAAAACCTGTTCCAAGAATAAAAAAAGCTCTCTCTCTTTGACAAAGTCTTCTTATTCACATATTTCACCTGTAGCTTTTCAAGAAAGGTGGGTGATTATTTGGTTGCCTCATGACGATTTATCAAGATGATGAAAGAACAAGATTTATCAAGATGATGAAATCAGGATAGACTGCATCTTCCTCCCCCCCTTTTTAAACCTTAAATTAATTGAAGCAAAAGTACCAACGTCAGAGAAGGGAAGGGAAAACAGCCTTAGCTCATCACCTGTCTCCTCATGATGCCAGGAAAAGCCGAGATAAATAATTGACATGTGTATGACAAATCCAAAAGAGAATGTGAAAGGAGCCACTTGGATTTACCTGGATTCTCTCCCCTACACGCAATGGCTAGAAGGGAAGGAAGCAACATGTTATTCCTGGATAAAGCCAACCAGTTCCATGACAGAGCTAAGGAAAACGGTTGAAAATGTACCTGATAATCTAGATTTGCTACACAGGTGTTAAAACAGAGAGCAGAACCCCAGATAAGGTATGGGAGGTGAAAGGAAGTCTGTGAAATGACTTAAAAAAGGTCAACAGGGTCAGAAAAAATGAGCCAAGCAGGATTCTTGGCAAAGTAGGAATGAACAAAGGAAAAAAGCCAGGGCAGCCCAGGCCAAAAGATAAGAAGTTGAAGCAACCAAGGAATCAGATAAGAGGAGTTAAGTGAGAGGTTTTTGATTTTGTTTTTTTTTTACACTGTGGGTGGTGAGTTCAGCACTACATTTCAGATGTGACAGAAAGATTTTAAAGTGGCTTGAAATACACTGTTCCAATAAAAAGGTCTTGTCAAAGCCAAAGCCTAAGCTACATGTGCGAGTGCCTGGGAGAACCATGGTGCTGCAGGGCAGGTTTGCGGAGAAGGATCAAGAACACACCATAAGACGTCTCAATACTCACAAAAATGACACTAGGACCGACAAGATGAGATGAAATTGAGATGCTTCTTCAGTTAATTATTTTTCTTTCTCCTCTCCCCAAATATGGCGGTTAAAGCAAGGCTTAAGTTTGAAGGAACTTACGAGATAGAAAGTAAAGGGAAGGGGTGGGAATGGAAGAGGAAGATAACAAAATAGCTCAGATGGATTCCTGAGAGTAGGGAGCAAAATGGTTCATTAAATAAGATACCAGGATTTTAAAGAGCAGTCAGAAACAAGAAGAAAAAAAAAATGAAGGGGAAAAACTATAAAGACCAAGAGATGACCATGTTAAAAGTAGAAAGTGGCCAGGTGCCTCAGCTTGGACAAGCACATCTACTCCAGGCAGGATCACACAGAGTCCGTTTGGTTTGGAAGCCGCACACACGCAGCTCCAGTCCCTTTGCTTTTCAAGGGCTGGCAGCTCCATAATTACTCTCTTTCGTGTACCATCAGCACGGTTCCTTTTACTGACAGCCAGATTACTCCTTCAGCAACCACCACTGACCAACCAGAACCTGTTTACTTTGACAGGAATCACAATACTTTTGTCAGGTGACATGAAATGAGCAAACCCGCTCTGGAGCAGCAGCGTACCTGTGCTGGGCTTCCCTGCCCTGGAGCCACTGGGACTGTGCTGGTGCCTTTCACAAGTCACAAATTCCAAAAAAAGACCAAAACCAGAGATGTGCAATAACTTGGTACTGTTCAAATAGTTACTGGAACAATTGGTTCTAACACCAAAGACTGCTGCACAAAAATTTGGAAGAAATAGGGCAGATAAAGAGAATGAAGAAAAAATTCACAATATAAACAGAAAGCTGCAAAAATTGTGACTTTGCTGCTGGACGAACAGAACTGATCCTGAAGAGAGTACATTTTATATTCTTGTCTCTAAAAGCAAATAACCAAAAGGCGTTTTCCCATTTTCTCCAGATTAAAAGAAGTTCATTCCTATAAATTAAAGAACCAAAGAGTAGCAGAGTCCGACTTAATCCATAAGGACTTTAAACATTTGGGAAAAATAACGAAATCAAAATATTTTATATGATTAAATCTAGATATTTGGTTTGATTGTTTGATAGGGATTTTTGAAAACAGAAATTTCCTCCAACTTTCTAGGAAACCAACTCTTCATAAAAACTGCCATTTATATTTTTTTTTTAACTTTCAAAGTTGTTAAGGCTGAAATGGGAAACACATTTAAAAAATTAATTCTTAAGAATCAGTTCCTCTTCATTTATGCAAAGGTCAGAAATAAAGCACCACAACCCACCAGAAGCATTTCTATCCTTTCTCTGTGAACTGCACAAAGATTTTAAACAAAACATCAGGAACAGGAACCACAGGTATTTTGTGTTAGCAAATCCTGGTGCTGGTACACCGCAAAGTGGCATTGATTTTTAAATTAATACTTTGCGTTTCAAAATCTTAATTCTGCATCCTTTTAAAAATACGGTTCCCTTGATTAACAACATTTCTTCAGCAATCATGAAGGAAAAATTAATCTGAGAATAACAGCTCAAATTTGTTTTAAAGCATATGACTTCTGTCACATTGCAATCATACAAGCTACCTGAAAACTGCAGGGCTTGGATCAGTGTTACCAATAAACACGAGCAGTGTGTTCTGTTTTGGTTTAAAAAAAAAAATCCTCAATAGGGTGGGAGGAGACTGCTGGTGTTATTATATACCGTACCTAAGATATTTAACCAACTTCCATTTAGTACTTATTAAAAATAGAATACATTTTTGGCTGGATAATGAATATGAATAATTAGTTACAAAATCAGTTTCATATTTACAGAGATTACAAATGTAAAGTATGAGGAGAGTGAAATGGAAGAAGCTGTTGCACGCGTTTCGTAGAAAAGTAAAATACTTTGCCTGCACAAGCAGTTTACCCAAAACTTCAGCTGTCCTCTGAAAATGACATTTACAATAATATTTTTCATTTTTATTCAGCTGAGTTAAAATGAACTGTATCTTCATAACTTCCGTTACTGTATTTATTTCAAATGCTGCGCAGTAAAATCATGCATCCTCAACTATAACATAACACTCAGCTGATAGAGGAACTTAAGGACGGAAAGGGCACGAAATGGCAAAGCCTGGGATAAACTTTTTAATGAGAATCACATTATTAATAAGTTTTGCTCATCTAATTTTAAACCAGATCTAACGCTGATTCCTTCTTTTATTACTGGCTTTATTTTTCGATTCATGTTGGTCAGCGTAACAACAACCAGATTCATTGGCTTGTCCTGTCCTGCCCAAAGGCCAGATTACAGACGGCGCTGCTGTTTGCTTTGACGTGTAGAAGAGAGAAAAATCCCAAAGGCCAGTGACAGCCCTACTGGGGATTTCGATTGTCACACAGAGGTTAGTGATTCTGAGTAGGAAGTCAAGAAAAAAGGGCAAATTCCTTTCTCTCTCCAGAATAAACAGTTTTCAATTCATCCTGAGCAGATCTGTGCATTCATTTTTTCTAAATCTGAATTAAATAGAAACATTTTAAATGCTAGATCAATGCTAGACCAAATGTAGGCTAATTTCATAAGAGAAAAATAAAAGATGAGATGAGTATCTATTCTGAAGAACAAAATATAATAAAGTAGCACATCTGGGAAGTGCAGTGTTAATATTTCAGGTTATCTGCTATATCCAGCCCTATGCATACGCTGTCTGAGGCTGAGGACAAATTTGAAAACTGTCACCTATTTGAAGGCACTGAGGCAGCTCAGTCCCATCGATGTTAGGAAACTGGAATCTTGAATAGCGTACATAATGTGGAAAGACAGAAGAGAGATGGAAGCACTGAACAAAGCAGTTTTATTTATTTTAAAACTAAACCACAGTTAAGTACGTAAGTGGGAAAGCCTGTTATCCTGTTCGCATATTCTGCACTACGACATTAAAATGTAGTTCCTTTCCTCTGATGCTAAAAGCTTTTAAATGCATTAAGAAAACAAGCAAAAATAAACATTTTTCATTATTAGCAGAGATTCCACTAAATGCTACCTCTCCAAAACAAAAGCAGCAGTAGAAAACACTAAATAATTGCATTTTTCTGCTCAGTGCAACATATCTTTAGCAAGCTGCTCACTGCAAAGACGCCATTTTATCAAAGCTGAAATGCAGCCAAAAGCTTAGGACGCGGAGCTGCTGCTCCCTCTCTGAAATGTTGTGTAATAAATTGATTTAACAGAAGCAGATGCTATTTTCGCAGGGTTAGGGTTACTTTCTCTCTCTTTTTTTTTTTTTTTTTGGCTCTAAAAAGGGCTGATGGGTAATAAAATACCTGAAGAAAGGAGTCGCCCAACCATCCTAGGAGACGCTACATTGCGTGCAGAGCTGCTTCGACTCCTGCATCTGCGTTCTCCAGGGCTCTCGGCTCCAACATGTCGGCTGTGCACAGTGTGAGCCTCATCCTGTCGAGCTGCCAAGAAAATCTCTCTCTGCAAGCCTGCGCCCAGACAACCTGCAGGCTCGGCTGGGCCGCGGTCGCGCTGGCGGTGGAAATGCCCTTTCCACGCACAGCCCTCCTCCCCTTCCCCTCGCTCTGCTCCTCCACTCTGGGCGAAGGGAACAACAGAGTCGGGGTTTTAAGCTTTGATTATCTAATTGCAGCTGACACTAAACCGATCTTCCTTCCTCTTTAAATTCTTTCAACTGTCACAAAACATTTTCACTTCAGGACCCAGTTACAATTAGCACCCTAGCTGCTTTTCTCCCGCTTTTGAAAGTCAGCCAAGAGAAGATGCGGGTGCTGCCGACTGCCTGCATGGCCAGCAGCTCCTGCCTCCTGCCCGCTGTCCTCCTGCCTGCCCCATCCACAGCTTCTGCCCCATCGAAAGCCCCCGCCCCATCCTCAGCTCCTGCCCCATCCTCAGCTTGGCAGGGAAGGGAGTCAGCCCAAGCCCCAGATGCAGGCTGGCCTGCTGCCAAGCCCTTAATGACTTCCCTGCCTCTATCTGAAAAAGATCTAAGTGGCAAACATGAGAGCGTATTAATCAAAGGCGCTGTTGTTGATAAACGCCAAGGAGAACTGCCCTCCCTACACAACGCAGCACGGAGCTGGGAGCTTTCTGCCTCCTGCAGAAGGGGAAACCATCTTTTAACAACCACGGGCTGGAGAAGGTGGATTCTCTTTAAGCCATATGAATACACAGAGAGTGAACAGGACGGAGAGGGAGGGCAGCCTAACGTTTTCAGGACCTAAATATCATCACTAATTCCGAGAACACATGTGGAGATCTCGTAGCAGTGCATACACACAAATCTCCATGGATAATTTACACACAAACTTCCAGTATGTCTGGTACACTCCTTTACCATTATTTTCCCTTCTCACTTCCTTGCTCTTCCTCCTCCTCCTCCTATCTGCCCCAAATACATATTAATAATGTGGTAAATAGAGCACGTTTTAAATTTGCTGTTTCAGTTCTTGTCAGGTGTTCGTTTGAGCAGTGTCACCCTCCTGCACTGGATCGAACACAACTGATGTCTCTTTAAAGGTTTGGCTGCGTTCTCAGAACTGCTGCCACTTCACTACCAAAGCACAATCGCTGCTGCTATTCTTGGCTCAAGAACTGTTCCACTAAAGTACTCCAGAAAATAGTTGGTTTCCTTCTGAAGATGTTTATTCTCTGTTTCTTTGCAATAGTCTCTGAATACTGGATGGGTTTAACCTCATTTTAAAAACAACAGATGAATGAAAATAAAATCTGTTTGGTTTTGTTTCCATTCAGAAAACTATTTCAAATGCAACTAGAAACTGAGCTTCAGAGTCAATCTGCAATAACTTTAAAGTGAAAATATTGTTGTGGATTATTAGATTCCTTTAAATCAGCTATACATGACTGAAATTTCCATTAGCTAAAACAGTACGTAGAAACTGGAAGAGAACATAAGACACGTTCTCATATTGCTTCTATTTTTCTTATTAATATCATAATCTTCCTGAAATCTACTTCCATATACAGAGGCAGGTACTCACCAAGGGCACCTAATTGAAGGGGACTGTTTACCAGACAGGGCAGAAAGCAATGCAGAACCCCAAGGAAGAGTCAGGGACCACAGCAAGGTCTAGAGGCAAAATAAAGCCCAGCTTCCACTCCAGCCCATGCTGGCTGATGAGTGGCTGCTCCCTTCCACGTGCCCTGTCTTGTACCAATCTCAACAGGGCATGAGTCTGATAAATCTGAAATCCTTACAAGATATCTAAAGACTAAAAAAAGGGATGTGAGAGGTCATGCAGACCACTCACCTGATCTAAGGAACCATTCCAGAGACACACCAAGTGACATTTGCCCAGCCCACCAAGGAAGCCCTCCAGCAGCGGAGATGGCACCTTCCCCAGGGCTGTTCTGGCCAAAATAAAGAACCTTTCCGTTTTCTTTATTTCTTATTCAATTATACAATTTCGTCACCACTATTCCACATTGTAACTTTGTCTTACAGTTGCCTTGCGCTCTTCTTCAGTTTGGTTTCATTAAAAAAAATTAATGAAGGCTGTTTATATCCAAAGACTGATGCAAAAATCAAAGAGTACAAATTTGCACTCCCACTCGAGACGTTCTCATTTCGCTGATAAGAACCGATAGCTACACCCTGTCTACAGCTTCCTGAGCAGCTGTAACACTTCTTGCAGCAGTTTCATCTTATACTTTTCTCTTATTTACACCACCACACATCCATCATGTGAAGGTCTTCTGAGGCACTGTCAGAGGTTGCACAAAGCCAACTTCTAGGATATGATCCTCCCTCCCATTTCACAGTACCTGCTGCACTGCTGACAAGGAACTACTCCCCTTTGGCATGGCCCGCTCTCCACAAGTCCACGCTGGCTCTGTTCTTCTCTACTGCACAGTTCTAAATGCACAGAAACTGCTGCTTTGGTTATTTTTTCCAATGTCATTCTAGCGGGTTACGGTCACTGATCTGCAATTCCCCAGTTTCTCCTTTCTCACCTTTTAAAATTGTCTGGTTTATTTTCTGTTTTCCAGTTCTCACACTCTGAAGGAATGCCAGCAGGCCAGACTGCTCCAATCCATCCTCAACGTAGTCTACTATGAATGTCATCACTTGCACACAATTCAAAATATTCCATTTCCTTAAGTACCCTTACTCACTGTAGCCTTAGTTCTAAGTCAAGCCTTAGTTTACAGATGAAAGAAATAGTATTTAAAGTACTCCTTATGCCAACTATCAGTGGTTCTCCCTGTTGAACATCAGACCAGTTCCCCTGGCCTTTCTTTCACCAATGGACTTAAGAAAATGTTATCTTTTTGTTCTTTGGCTTTTTTTTCCTAACAGCTACAAACTTCTTTGTTTTATATTTATTTCTGGTAGTATCATACCTGTTTCCTGAGCTGTATAAATTCAGCTTTCTGATAATTCTCACATGACATCACTCCCTTTCTGCTCTTCCCAAGGACCAAACTCTTATTTCCCCATCACTTTGACCTAAGCTAGTCACTTTGTTAGTTGCTTTCTACCTTTTACATCTCCACCATCAGAGACAGGTCCTGCTACTCGGTCTCTTCACATGCTTTGTCAGAAAACTGCCATCTGCTCATTTCAACAACTTGCCAGACTCTTTGTCTCCTGAGCTTTTTCCTCCCGAGACACCTGGGCAGTTCATGTCGCTGGCTATCACTAGAGCACAGCCGTCTGCAGTGAAGCTGGAGGTAGGATGCAGGTCTTCTGATTCCAAAGCAAAAGCCATGGCCTTTGAGTTTTTGCACAGCCCCACTCTTTGAAAGTGAGAACAGCAAAACTATAAAGGCATCTCAGTTATTTATCCTTTTACAGATTTCTATTTTTCCTTCTCCTGGTGAAAAATTCTAATCACTGTCAAATAGATTTGAAGCAGTGGATTTATTTTTCACGCTCTGCTGCCTGATGTCAGGTAACATACACAATACAGAAAAATTCATTCCAAAGATTAGTTTACTGATGAGGTTTTACCATCATTTATCATTCATAATGCCCGTATTTGTGCTACACAGCAGTTGCTACTTCTCTATCTATATTCAATGCATTATATGGAATTTTTTAACATTTACATGAGAGACAAAACCTGTTACTAGCTGAGACCCACCTCTCACAGACTTTCCCATTATTGCATTTCAGAAAATGTCCATCAGTCAAGAGCACATCCGGACAGCACCTACTGGCTAGATCCCATCTCCATGCTAACTGCTACATTTTTATCCTTGTACGATGCTTTTTTAACTTCCTTTTGTCTAAACATAGTACCTGTCACTTGTGACCTTTGGTAACACTGCCTGATTTCCAGGGACATGTCCCAGACAACAAGCACTACCAAATGCTAAACAAAGCCCCAAGGAAAAAATAAAAAACAAGAAGAAAGAAACATCACCACTCATGCAACCTCTAGTTGTACCTGAACGTTCCTTTACAAGGCTAATTCGATGAGACTAGTGGCAAAAGATTTAATGAAACCAAAATATTGATAATGTCCATATTTTTCAAGAAATGACATAACACCAAATTTCATCCCACTAGTAGGAAAACCTTCATGTAGCCACACTGTGGAAACATTGTGTATAGTGATGAGTGAACTGCTCTGCAAATTATGGCCAACACCTAGTCAAGATGTAAAGATTGAAAGCTGTTAGGAGTTTTATTGCAGATTAAGCATCATGTGTTTTTTAGATACAGTTACCTTCCACAGAAGTAGTAGAAATAGCCAATTCTTGTGTTTACAAAGAAACATCACCATGCTAGTTCCTTCATTCCAGATCAACAGCCATGATACAAAACTGAACAGCTTCCAGGTACTATGTACTACACTTGAACAAAGTATATTTGCTATAGGAAATGTGAAATGATATACACAGAAAATGTGCAAACAAGGTGAGTAAATACACCATCTAATCCTCGATTTCTACCTTATAGCATTTAGTGCTTTAACTATTACCTATGAAAAGTCCTGTTTACAGAGGATTCAAAATAAATCAATTTCTAAAGTTTCTGTTCCTTAACTTTCCAACTGAAATCAAAACTCCAGTACTGTTTTGCCAACAAAGATACTCTGCTAGTGGAATTACAGAATATGGGCCCAAAGACATAAAGTTCAGTAAATTGTTTCCATAGAGGCAGTTTTCACATGTGCTTTATTAATCAAAAATTAGCCTGTTGCCATGCCTCCAGGAAATCAACCTAAAAATCTTATTTCAAACTGTTGAAATGAGACTTTATTCATATGCTACAGATCTCCTTTTGCATGTACGTACCTTGCCTGCAGCCATCACAAAGTACAGTAAGCTAAACTGGGCAACTGTTCAAACATGCCTTT